TCAAACCAAATACATCATTACAATAAACAAATGAGTTATGACAGTGAGTATTCATTGATTTGTGTGACGTTTACCTATACATATTTTCGACCCAGTTACCACATGTTCTTTGGTAATAAGTTAAATAAAGTTAAAAGATAGTCACCAAAGGAGCCACTTTAGACAGCTAGATCACACAGAGCATTTGTGTTGTCTTATAAATGGGCCTGAGGAGGAAGCTCGAAGAAACATCAAATTTCTGGAGCTACAATTCCTTTAAGATCGTATGTGAAGAGCGAGAATATTTTATATTATACTAAATCAGTATTAAAATGGGATTAAAAATGAATCACCAATTTACTAACACCTTCTCCATAATATGGTGATTATGAAATACATCATATATACACATATGTGTGTGTGTGTCTGTGTGTCTATATATTTTTTTGCCACACATCTATTTAATGGTCCCAAGATTTGAAACCACCACATGATGACATTTTGAATACCTCCTCCTTGACATTGAGAAAGGGAATTTGGCAACTAGAATCTAGAAACTACAGTTTGTCATTCTGGATTTTATTCCCAGATTGGAAGCCAACTTTTAGTGACCCATGCAATTTGCTTACCCACTCAGTACCTTATGCCTGAATCTGTACACAGAGTGAAGTACCATCTATGTTTCAGGGTACTAGGCAAACGTGTGATCCGGGCTTGATGTTTTATAGCCCCGTGGGGTAAGCAGGGATGAACTCAGCGCACACACTAACAGGTAAACCACCTTAGCCTTTGAATCCCAAGTTATTTCTGCCAGCGTGATAGCAGGTGCCAGTGCGAAAAAGCAAACAAACCCCGAACGGTGGCAGAGTAACGCCAGCCTCGCCAGGCATGTTCCCTGTAAGTACCACCGTGGAACTCTCGCATGCCAAAGAAGGCTAAATCCAGTTTCTCTCCTGACACTGCACAATTCATCATGGATCTAATGGGGAAGGGAGTTTAGTGACTTCCACTTAAAACTTCTTTTCAATAGTGAAGGGTGCTGGTCCAAGAAGACCCTAAGAATCTACATACCTCTTTCGTCCCCTTTGGAAAGCCCTACTTAGACCCAAAGGAAGATGAAACTTTTCATGAAGTTGGGAGAAAAGCTGGTGAGGCATTAAAACCCACACTCTTTCCATTTCTCCTCTCCTGCTGCCTCGGCTGCTGCTGCTGCTCCTGCCAACACATATGTTCCCCAGCCCCACGGAGGGCCGCCACTGCCAGTCCTGTATCCACTGCCACCACCGGCAGGACTCATGCCTCCACTGCACCTGTTTTCTGTGGCTCCCCCAGCAACTTCCACCTGTCTCTAAACAGTCCTGGGAGGACCTTGTAATCAGCTAATGATGGCGCCACCACTATGGGCCAGTTATTGGTGCCCCCACTTGCCGAGATGGAATCTCAGTAAACAAGGGACGAAGTACCTTTTGCAAGCCTGTGGATTGAATTGCAACTCTACAATTGTGGGAATGGACCTCATTAATGGAGGATGTGGTTCCTTCACTCTAGGGAATTTCAGCCAAAGCAGTAAATGAGATAAAAATTTGAAAAACTGCCTATGGCAGATGTAGAAAGGGGAAGGAGCCAGTGAAAATGTTCAGCTGGTTCAGGAATTAGAGAAACAATAAAGCCAGGGAGGCACTTGGAGAACGACTTCAAAGAGAGTCTTCTAAACACGAGCAGCAGAACCAGAGACGCTCAGAACCCTGAAATGTCCATCTTGAATAGCCTGCATCTTAAAGACTTGGTTACTCCTCTTCCTCCCACAGTCTCTGCTTGCCCAAGGGCCCAGTCTCACAGCTGACTTCAACAAAACATCTGACTGTAGTACTGGGTATGGATGTACCGAATATAGCACTCAATGAGTATTTGCCAGATTGGATTGAAACATCAGTAACTTTTTCTTGACCCTGAAGGCCCGTTGAACTAGTATATGGAAGTCATGCTGTTCAGAACAGAAAGTGATGGACTTAAATTACAGGAGGAGAGACTTGGCTAGGATAAAAGGAGCATTCTTCTTGGGTGGTGAGGAATATAGCATATTGGAAATAAGTGGTAGAACCTCCTTCTTTAGGTATCTTTAATAATAAAGGGTTGAACACAGTCTCTTGGGAATGTATCAACGGATAAAGCTCAAAGACAATAGTGTATTTTCCTGATAACCTCTTTCAAAGGTGTCAGTCCACAAAGAGTTATAGTGACCTGCTGTCTTGGAACCTTGGTCTAGTGACCACAATGTCTGACCACCGGTCCCAAGTGCTTTGTGGTTGATGTACTTGATTGCTTCTAAAGCTCAAATGGGACCTTTCCTGATGAACCCGACAAAGCCTTCTTTTAGGATTCTCAGGGCCAAAGATCCAGATTTTGGGGTGGAGGCACTCTGGGCACACACACATACACACACATTCAAAAGTAGGATGCAGGACTATTATTCTGACTATTTAGCACGGCAACTATTCATCCTGCGGTAGAAGAGTGCAGAATTCCTGGGCTGTCAGAATGGAGGATACGTGGGTAAGGACCCAGTGTGAAAAGGGCCCCGTGAAGCTTAAAGCTTGGGGCCATCGGCCTTCTTTTTTTTTCAGGAACTTTTTATTGTGATGAAAATAGTCTAGCAGATTAAATAAAGGGTACAACTCAGGGGTTCACTGCATCCTTTAAGTCTTGTGCTGCAATATGGAACCAGCTATTACGAGATGACTTATAAGGTATCTCGCAAGGAATTCCAATAGAACTGATTTGGGAGATTACATCGCTAGGCTCATAGCTCTGAAGACTATATTTTAAAAGATCAAAATTTTAATCATTGTAATAGGAGCTATTGTCAAGAGTGTTTCGGTATTTTCACGGAAATTCTACTTTCAGTGTTTAGGCTTAGAACATGAGTTCCAAGGATATGGTGAGAAGTCACATGTTTCCCCACGGATCCCATATCAACTGAAAAAGATCTTCTAATACTTATAATAAAAGATCTAGAAGATGTAGAAGATGTGATATGTAGGACCCTGGAATATAAAGATAATTAAATATCAAATAAAAAGTACAAATTCTGAAATAAATAAAAATGAGACTTTCTTCATATTATCCCTTTGTTCACATGTCACTTATCTTTTAATCATATAAGAAAATTAACTGTAAGGATAGCAGGAAAACACTGTTTTTAATTAAACTATTCATTTAAAAGATTCTTCTGGCTTTCCATTAAAAATACATTGGTCCAGAATTCCTTCGATATTTTGATAAATGTTGTAACCTTCATGGATATTGGGCTAGCTAAATCTGAAGCATAGAAATGTAGTTTAAACTTTGAAAATGATGCTTTATGCTGTCTGTTCACTTTGTTCTTATTTATGAGGGATTTTCATATTCAATAAGGTCTCGGCACATCTTGAAATTCATATGTATTTAACACCTGTGCCCACAAAGCTTTACCTTCTCTGTGAAACATCTTCAGTATGAGGATCTCCTGCTGCCCCTCCAGAGTGCTTCTAGCCTCACACGTTTTGGTGTATAATATCATTCTCTCTCTTATTGTGGTTTATAGCTAGGAAGTGGTGGAGGGTGGCATCTGAATCCAGTGTGGTGGACATTATAAGCTAAAACATTCTACTTGTCTAATATTTTTATTATGTACAATTTTCATCTCTGCAATATTATAAGAGAGAAAGCTTCCCAAGGCAAGGACTATTCTGGTTAAATATCTCCCACAGTACATCAGGCTATGCCAAGCATAAAGAAAGTGCCCAGAAGACGTCAGGTGAACTGAAGTCAGTTGTGTTAATGGCCAGAGGGAGCCAGCCTAGAAAAACCACCAGTAAGTCACAGTATATGTCACTTTTCCCTGATATGTCTATGATATCATTGGATCATTGATAATTGGAAAATTGTATTGTCTAATTTTATCTAAACTTCATCCTCATGAGGTATAAAACCAAAACCAAACCCACTGCCATCGAGTCAATTCCAACTCATAGCGACCCTATAGCCATATACAGCGACCCATGAGGTATAGAGGGACACATTTAGTGACTCCCATTTAACATATGGAACTCAAGCCAAAAGTCACTGATTCTCTTGAGGTAATACAAACTAGTTGTGGTCCCCAAATTGTCTCCAGTATTCCCTATGCTCAGCTCAGCAACTTATCATGAGACCACAGTGCTTCTATTCACTTATGAAAAATTTTCATATATGTAAGCCTTAAGTGAAGAATCAAAGACTACAGCCTTCAGTATGGACTACACCTCAGCATAAAGAAAACAAAAATCCTCACAACTGGACCAATAAGCAACATCATGATAAACAGAGAAAATATTGAAGTTGTCAAGGATTTCATTTTACTTGAAATCAAGGATTTTACTTTACAATCAACGTCCATGGAAGTAGCAGTCAAGAAATCAAATGGTATTTTGCATTAGGCATATCTGCTGCAAAAAAGACCTCTTTAAAGTGTTAAAAAGCAAATATGTCACTTTGAGGACTAAGGTATGCCTGACCCAAGCCACGGTATATTCATTCAGTTCATATGAATTTGAAAGCTGGACAACAAATAAGGAAGACAGGAAGAATTCATGCATTTGAACTATGGTGTTGGTGAAGAATATCGACTATACCATGGACTTCCAGAAGAACAAACAAATCTCTTGTTGGAAGAAGTACAGCCAGAATGCTCCTTAGAAGGGAGGATGGCGAAACTTCATCTCACATACTTTGGACGTGTTACCAGGAGAGATTAGTCCCTGGAGAAGGACATCATACTTGGTAAGGTAATGAGGCAGCGAAAAAGAGGAAAACTCTCAACAAGATGGATTCACACAGTGGCTGCAACAATTATGGCATGTTGTACATGGGGTCACTACAAGTCGGAACTGACTCGATGGCACCTAACAACAACATCAACAAGTGAAGAAAAATGACAAGAAAATGAATTTCAACATAGTATCCAAATAACATTAGAATCAGTTATTTTCTTAAACTCTTACCATCACTGTGAAAGCAGGCACAGTAGAGACATTAAATGTTGGACCGTCTGGTCTCTCTTGGTAGACCACATGATACTGGGTAATAATGCCATTGGGAGATTCTGGCTTTGTCCAATTCAGCAGAACCGAATGAGCACTGGTGGCTTGAGCCCAGGGAGCTGGCAAATCTTGAGGCGGGGCTTCCAGGGTCCGTGCTGATGACCACAGACTCTCCACTGAGCCCCTGGAGTTCTGGGCTCTGACACGGTATTGGTAGAGCGTGAAAGGCCTCAGAGTATCTGAGGTATCGGTGAATTCAAGGGCTCCTTCTGACCAGACAAACAGAAGGAACTCCTCTCCAGTGCCAGCAGTACGTCTGAAAGGAAACAAAAAAGGCAACCAGTGACAGCTGCAAGGTTTTGGATGGACTAAGGAATTGCTTTTTTGAATAATTTGTTATCAACTCAGTTGTCCCTTCCTGGTGTCATGATGAAGAAAGACCAGATGGCAGGGTGCACCACGGGCCTGACTCAATATCATATTTTAATGCAGTTCATAGACATACAGATATAGTCTGCTTGTAAAACAAGACAACACAGAAAACATGGAAATATAGAAGAAATAAAAAAATTAAAAAGTGATACAAAATTACCAATAATCACTTTTTTTTTTTTAATTGTACTTCAGGAGAAGGTTTACGGAACAAATAGTTTCTCATTAAATGGTAGTACACATATTGTTTTATGACATTGGTTAACAACCCCGCGACATGTCAACCCTCTCCCTTCTTGACTTTTTTTTTGTTTGGTGAAAATATACATAGCCAAAGAGACACCATTTCAAACATTTCTACATGCACAGTTCAGTGACATCGACTACGCTCTTCCACTTGTGCTGCTATTCTCACATTAGATGAAGGTTTACAGAACAAAATAGTTTCTCATTACACAGTACACATGTTGCCCTATGACAATGGGTAACAACCTCACTTCACATCAACACTGTCCTTACTCAACCTTGGGTTCCCTATCACCAGCTTTGCTGTCCCCTTCTGCCTTCTAGCCCTTGTCCCTGGACTGCTGTGCCTCATTAGTCTCGTTTTGTTTTATGGGGCTGTCCAATCCCTGGCTGAACGGTGAACCTCGGAAGTGACTTCACCACTGAGCAAAAGGGTGTCTGGGGGCCATACTCTCAGGGTTTCTCCAGTCTCCTTTAGGCCAGTAAATCTGGTCTTTTTTGTGTGTGTTAGAATTTTGTTCTACATCTTTCTCTAGCTCTGTCCAGAACCCTCTGTTGTGATCCTGGTCAGAGCAGGCAGTGGTGGTAGCCAGGCACCACCTAGCTATACTGGACTCAGTCTGGTGGAGGACTTGGTAGCTGTGGTCCATTAGACCTTTGGACTAATCTTTTCCTTGTATCCTGTTCTCTTCATTCTCCCTTGCTCCCAAAGGGATGAGACCAGTGGAGTACCTTAGATGTCTGCTCACAGGCTTTTAAGACCCCAGACGCTACTCACCGAGGTAGAATGTAGAACATTGTCTTTATGTGTTATGCCAACTGAGCTAGATAGATGTTCCCCGTGACCATGGTCCCCACAGCCCTCCACCCAGCAATTCAGTCCCTCAGGGAGTTTGGATGTGTCTATGGAGCTTCCATGACCTTTCCTTGTAGAAATTGTGCTGGTTTCCCCGGTACTGAATAATCACATTTTTTTTTTTTTTTGTATTAACTTCCAGACCTTAAAAAAAAAAAATACACAAGCAATCCATGGAAACAAATACATTATTTAAAATTTTAGGAATAAAGAAGCATATGTGTACACTCTATTTAAACAAATCATTAGGTATTTTCTAGATCTTTGTCTATAGGTTTGTGTGAATGCGCTCACGTGCGTGCACAAACGGTTCTAGTGGAGTTTTATACTATAAACAACGATTGCAGACTGATATTACTGGGTGTCTTCACCCTTCTGTGATGCACTGATTCCAATAAGGGTTTCAGTTTGTCTACGTTTCCCTGTATACACGCCTTTCCTAATGTGCTCCCAAACTCACTCGGGTCTTGGCCATATGACATTTTTTGGCCGACAGAACAGTAGAGGATGCGATGAATGCAGAGACTTGAAAAGTGTTTGCACGTTGAGACTGTCTCACTCGCTGGTCTCAGGGCCTTGAGATTGCCATGTGACAGAGCCCAGATGAGCCTACTGGAAGTGAGAGACTAGAGACCAGCCCACACTTCTTCTCCTTTACCCAGCACAATGCTATTTTTGCATTTGTCCCCATGAAGTTTTAAATCCATTCCCACATTTCTACTTCTTTGAATTTTCTCTTCCTTAATGAAACCATGACCCTCCAAAAGTAAGTACCACTCTTTCTTGTGTTATCACCAAACCTTTATGAAGTACTTATACATTAGGCCTTGTACCGGGAGCAGAGGTACAAAGATGAATGTGCTCCTTACCAGGAACTCATGGCTGCATAGAGAAGATAGATTTATATGCAAATTACTGCAAATCACGTAAGTCATATAATAGGAATTTGCATTAGAGATCTTGCAAAGGTCAAATTCCTTTTAGATGTCTTCTCCAGAACCTAGTAAAATATAGAATATGCTCAAAAACATTCTTCCAACTGCCTTAGAATGGGATTATTTAGTCTTATTTTTACATTTTATTGCTATCCAAACTAGGGCTTATACACACTCTTCTGGTACTGAATACATACAGCATTAAAAAATCAAGTAAAATAAATGGAATTGTCAGTTTGGATGGCTCCAAATATTTGGATATTTCATTTAGAACAGTTCTTTGCTCATCCAGTTGGAAAATCATGACCTGACCAGAGGGGAAGTCGTTGAGGAATTGTGGTTGGCTTGTCTCTGCCTCTTAGCCCAGCAAGTGTTCAATCATTTCTTTTTGCATGAATGGCTACAAGGCATATATTTCCACGGTTTTTCTGCATCTTTGCCTCATCACTATCAACGCTGATTTGCTATTAGGGTAGCATTTTCGATTGGGGAAGAATGTAACTGAGAGATAGACCCTCTCCTCCTTTGGCTTCTTCTCTAGTTGAGGAGAGACTGGTGAATAAATCGAGATTTTCCAGGCTGTTAGGAGTACTTATTTCACACACTCTTCAGATGCTGGAATAGCCACATGCTGCCACATCAGATTAACCAGCTCCATCAAAATGCAAAGGATTATTAAGATAAAGTAAATGACAGTACCTTTCTCTAAAAAGCAGGATATTAGAAACCCTTGGCTTTGGGAATTTGACAATTCCCCATTTGATAAATCACTGTGACCTAAGTAGAAGCAATGACAAGCTTCCTGCTGGAGGCTCTGGAGGCTTCCTAGGTACCTCTCAGTGACCTGTAATTATGGTTGGGCAACCCACCTCATTATTACCCGTTATCAGGCATGGGCCAGATTCTGCACTCAGTGTAGGTACTCACTGTAGATATCAGGTACCAGGTGTGTCATTGCGAGGGATCCATTCTAATGAGAACCTCAGGGCTCACAGCCAAGGACTTCTCTCAGTGATTTTTTAAAAGGTGTTTGCCAGGAACATAATACAGCAAACTAACATACAAACTTCCATGGGGAAATACATTTTCTATTTTGTCTGGCTTCAACCTTTTTGTGACAATTCAATTAATTTTTATTACACTTTCATGAAGTCCCCAATCCAACTGTAGCCATGTTTTCATAAAATTGGCATTCTTAAAATAAAAATTGCCTGTAAGTGTGAATTTTTATAATCTACACCACTTCAGAGATTAAGTATAATGATAGTTTCAAGTTAATATGTCAAAACAGCTAAAGGATGCAGCCGGGCTAACTATGTCTTATCACTCTTCAACATTTAATGAATTAAAATTACCGTGAGGTAAATGTTCTATCAGTGGAGCTAAAGAACAGAATATCTTTATGTCTGGATACACTCTGAACAGAAGTGGCTGGGTGGACCACAATTATTTCTAATCTACTTAAGATTTAGGATGCAACTGTTCATTTAACTGGAAGTATTTTCCTCCAGAACATCCAGTGTTCAGGGAAATCACACTGTCTGTTCTTTTTGAATGGCCAAATGATTATTCTTAAGCTCATTTGGGAGATACTTCAGTAATGCATTTTTCAACTAGAGTTAATTACATGTTGCCCAGCACTAAAAGTGAAGCAAAAATAAGGAGTGTTAAAACTAGGAACTATATATTTTACCAGGATTCATACTCTATGTGGTCTCAATGTCGTACAGTATTTTTAGAAGTTCCTAATCAACCCCTCCCTTGAAATTCTCAGTCCTTATCTTCAAAAGCAATTAAAACAAAAATTTATAACCCAATTAATTTCCCATGACAACTTTAGCATTATGAAAATGCCACCCCCACCTTCTGAAGAATATGAAGAATCCCCTTCATAAATAAAGAGCCAGAGGCACCTGGACTCAAAGGAAATAGTTTCCAGGTCCTGTCTCTGCCACTTATTGGTTGCATGACTTTGGGTGAACTCACCTGTGTTCTCTGTGTCCCATTTCATTTTGCAAACTGGAGCTCATAATCTCATAGAGTACACTAACTCTGCAAGAATTTTTATAAGAATTAAAGCAAATGCTGCACAGGAAAAGCAGGGGATAAAATGTAGGGCATGTTGCAAATGAAGTTGTAGGATGATGTCCAAAGCTGTGCTGTGGAAGGCAAATCGGGCGCCATGTAAGGCTGCACTGAACAGAGAGCGACCGAGGGATTCACTCCATGAAGAGGTCATCACAACGGTCCACGTGAGAATAAATGTGGATCCTGAAATAAGCCGATGGTAGAGGAAATGGAAACACAAGTGTTATGGATTGAATTGTGCCCCACCCCCTAAAAAAAATGTGTTGTAAATCCTAACTCTTATACCTGTGGATGTAATCCATTTGGGAGCAGGGTTTTCTTTGTTATGTTAATGAGGCCATATCAGTATGAAAACCATAACCTATTGCCATTGAGTCGATTCTGACTCATAGCAACCCTATAGGACAGAGTAGAACTGCCTCGTAGGGTTTCCAAGGAGTGGCTGGTGGATTTGAACTGTCAGTCTTTTGGTTAGCAGCCAAGCTCTGAACCACTGTGCCACCAGGGCTCCAATTGCATGCCTATAGTTCGCTAATATTCCATCAATATTTCCCGTAAGTTCCTAATATTGCCAATATTTCATGCTTTCATGGCTTTGACGTTGGTCTCTTCTTCAGCGTCTCCCATCCTTTCCTTCGCTCCTCCTTTCTATAAGCTAACTCCAATTCAGCTTTCAAAACTCTACTCTCAAGTCACTTTCTCCAGAAAGTCTCTTGCTTCTCTCTGAAACAGAGTTATCATAACCGCCTATGTGCTCTT